GTCGTACAGCTCGTTCTGACCTGCTCTCTGGTGAGAGAAATGAATTATTTCATAGAGAACATTTATTATAATGATTCAGATAAAAATTATTATAAAATGTTTCATCATAAACATAAAGTTTGACCATAATGCAAAGTTTAGTTAAGTGAAATATTTAAACTTAAAAATCTATAATCAATGACTGGTTTCACAGTTAAAGTTCAAGCAGTGATTTACATCAAAGCACAATAAAACATTTTAACATTCTTTTTGTGTTTTCTTTTTTATACTTTGATAAAATTTTGAATACAAGAATATCATTCTGTTTATTATCTGATTAATAAGATGAAAATGTCTCTTTACTGTTTAAGAAAACATGTTGACTTTAACTCAAACAGAGCTCTGTCACTTTACAGGAGGCCTTCTGTGACCAAGGTCAAAAACAGGTGGAACTGTTTATTCCACCCCTAGGTGACCACTACACCGCAAAAGAGGAATTAGGCTCATTTTATTCATCCTCTGACCTCAAGTTTGTTTAATCGTTTTGCTAACTTTATTTTTTTCAATCAAAAAGCACAGTTTTTAATAGAGGAAACTGTTTTGTTTACGTTGAGCGCATACCCGCTTTTCAGAGTTGCATATAAATATAGTATGTCTGGAAATCTACCTGATTAAACTTGTTTAAACTGCACCACTGAAATATTTAATAATTATAATAATATTATAATTAATAACCTTAATGTTTTTTTTTCTGTTTTCTCAGGAGTGAGTGTGTTTTTTTGACTCACCGCGGGTGTCCCCCCAGCCGGTGACCCAGCAGTAGTGTCCCGGTTTGAGGGGGCTCTGCTTGCGCGGCAGGCAGGCGTAGCGGATGAAGTTTGAAGGGAGGATGTCCGTGGCAGCTTTCACCAGGGCGATGTCGTAGTCCAGCTCGCTGTGGGTGGGGTAACGGAAGCTCTCGTGCCGGTAGATCCTCCTGACGGGGAAAATCCTCTCCGCCGTCTCTGAACGCTTCAGCTGGTGCTTCCCCAGGACTATCCTCCAGCTCCCAGGATCCTCAGCTTTACCTCTAAGAGTGTGTTTTTTTTTAAAAGCACACAATTTTGATTCACATTTATTTAATTTACACACACACATCTATACAAACAAAACGTCAGCTCTTACTTTTGGAAGCAGTGAGCTGCAGTGAGGACCCAGTTCTGATGGATGAGAGTTCCTCCACAGACATGAATGTAATGTTTACTCCCCCTCGGTCGAACCTGTGAGAAACAACAACCTTCCTTAGTAATAAAACGTAGGAATAATTTGATCTTTTATGCACTTTACCACATAAATGTTACAGAGTTAGAAAATGTTTGGTGTGTTTTAGTGGGAAAGAGTCAACTTTTCAAAATTYTTTAAAGTATGGAAATGTCTAGTTGTGTTTATGATTTTAAATTCCTTGGGACTCATACACTCCTGATCAAAAGCTTAAGACCAGTCAAAAAAAGTGCAAGAATTTGCATTTTACACTATTGGATCTTAAGAAGTTTCTAAGTAGAGCTTGACAATGTTAAAAGAAGAAATCAGTGCAAGAGACAAGAACTTTTGAGCAGGGAATTTTCTGAAAACTGCATTTACACTCAAACATGATTTTTTTCAGCTGATCAAAAGTTTAAGACCATAGTCTTTTAAAGCCAAAAGCTGTGCAAAAATCTGGATTCCATGTCATTTTCTGTCAAGTCTTTACACTGTCAAGACC